TTCCGGAGCATTGTCAGTGTTTCCAAATATTTCATCTAATAAACTAATAAGTCCATTTTTTAATAATAAATTAAAGTTGTATGTGTTTACTTTATAGGTCAGTTTTTGGGTTGTACGAGAAATATTAACAGCACAGACCTTAAAAATAAGGGCGGAAATACTGAGCCACTTTGTGAAGATAGCTAAAGTAAGTGTAGATTTCTTACACTACCATTCAAAACCTTAATTCTTTCATGCTTGTTTCTTCACTACTCCTGTGAGCCCTTTCCAGTGTGCTAAAAGCTATTATTCCCTTTTTTCAGAAGCTTCTAGAACTGAACAATCTTCATTCTCTTATGTCTGTGGTGTCAGCACTGCAAAGCGCACCTATCTTCAGGTTGACCAAAACTTGGGCTGTAAGTGTTGCCTTGCCCCTTTCCCCTTCTGACTTGTTTTAATTCTGAGGTTCTTTGGAATTTGTCATATTGTAAACTCTGGAGGAAGATAGTTTTATGTTCTTAGTGATATGAGCATCACTGACAAATTAGTCAGAAATAGTGGTCATGTTTTTTCATAGCTTAAGACCTACACTAAATGGCCCTTTTTTAACAGGTAGCATGTTTTCAAGCATTGTGCTTCTTTGGATGATGATGAGAAATTTGATCTTAACTAGACTATGCTGTACTTTACTTTGGGCAATTCATCAAGTTTCTGACTGTTAGTTTTGTGTGGATTTGTCTTTGAAAATTTTATGATCTTCGTTTTTGTTTTCTCTGTAGCTTTTGAATCGGAAAGACAAGACCACATTTGAGAAGTTAGACTATTTACTGTCTAAGGAAGATAATTATAAAAGGACACGAGAGTACATCAGAAGCTTAAAAATGGTTCCTACAATTCCATATTTAGGTGAGTGTGAACAATTACCTTATTTATCTGTAGCTCACTGACAGACGAGTGCTAATGTACCATATTGTGCACCTGAAGAACCCTCTGTGTAGAAGAATGGTTCACTCTATTTCATATTTGGAAAAATTAGGTCAGGTTGAGATTTTTGGGCTATACATATGTTTACATACTTTTAGAAGGAGTTTTTCTCTCAAGTGCTGAATAAATATATGTGTAATTCAATGCTAAAATGTATTAAAAGGGAGACCTACAGTTAAAATGCTGTCCCGTCTTGATATTGTCTCCTTTTCTTTTGTGATAAACAGAGAGTAGCCATTTGATGAATTGGTTATTTTGGTCAGTATTTCACCTGGAAGTATTTCTGCACAAAGGTTACTGTTAATCAAAGCAGTCCAATATAATTAACTGTTTTCTGGCTTTTATTAGTGATTTAGTCAGATGCTAAACTGCAGCTAAAAAGAATAAAAGTTTTTAAATTGGTGACACTGGATAGCAAGAGCTCAAGAATTCAGCTTAGCCTTCCTGGGCCAGAATTGCTATCTGTATTGTTTACCCCTAATGCCTCAGTAGACTTATCTTCTGTGAACACTTTCACTCTTGCTTTAAACACACATAATCTTGCATGCACAACACCTGGCTGGCAGGATTTCTTCAACTCTGTCCAGTACCACATTTTTTTTGCTTGAATTGAACATGGTAATTTTTACCTTCACTAGATAAACCCTACCTTGTTCCTTACACAGTTTGAGGCTACTCCTGACATTATGGACTTCAGTCATTATCTGTTGCCTTCACTATAAATCTTCAGTTACTTCTCTTCCAAAAGGAAGAGTCCTTGGATTACTTGATCATGCCTTGTACAGATGCCACTTGGCATCCTTGACAACTTGCCTGGGCAGCATTTTAGTCCTGTATCTTTTTAGGGGAAGAGGGTGCACACGAAGTGTACTGCCTGCAAAATTCAAGATAGAAGTGCAGGTTATATTTTATACAGTTACTTCAGGAGGCTTTTTGTTCTCTACTTAATAATTTCTGACATTCAGTTACCTCAAAGTTTAGCAGCAATCACAGAGTAGTGAGCATGAACTGTATATTGTAATGCTAAGATTGTGCCTTTATTGGCACTGGTTTGCTCTTCTTGTTTTATATGGAAAGTCAGGATTCTTTGTTTACCCCTTGTATGTAAAACAGTCTGTAGATTTTCATCTTCTGTTTTACTATCCAAGCAGTTTATCTCCCCTAAATCCTTCCATAATTCCAATCCATCTGCCCTTCTCTTTGCTCCTCTCAGTTAGTGAATATCATTAGCAGATTTTTGTTTCTGTTAATTCCTGTTTTCAGATTACTTATGAATAAGTCAAGCAGCATGAATCCTAGTACACCTTGCTGTGGAAAACAATCAGCACTGCTTATCTAAAATATTTATTATTTAATGAATTTAATGACTGTTCCTAATGGCCATACTTTTTAAACTGTATTGAAAGCTTGGTATGAGTTACTGAAACTGCTGTGTAAATAATTTCAGATTTGAATGAATATTTGGCTTATCAAAAGAGAATATTCAATTGAGCCTTGTTTCAATGAATAAATGTCTTCTCAAGGAAGACAACTTTACTTACAGAACATCTTTATTCTTTGCAAATGAACAAGTAGACCAATAGATGATTTTAGGAGTAACTACTGAATATAAAACAACTGAATTGAGAATGAGAAGGTGTGAGGACTTGCAGAGTTCTTGGGGGTCCTGTTTTGTGCTGTAGAACCTCTTGTCTCACTGTAAGAAAGGTACTTCATTGAGAGAGAATGGTTCTTATTTCATCTGTAGAAGCCTGAGATTGCTTAAAATAAGCTGGAGAATGTACAGGGAAATTAAAACTGCCACTGAAGTTTTCCAGTTACTCTGGTTTATAAGAATTAGCTCACAGCCTTGTGTGAGAAATGTTTTAATACTACACTGTTATTACAAAATCACTCCAAGTCACTTTTATACAAGATTAAAAATATTTCTGAAATGAACATGTATGTTACAAGCCTAATAAAAGACTTGGGTAATGAAAGGAAAAAATCTGCATGTTTCCTTCCTAATCCAACTGAGTTACAGGCTTGAACCTGAAATTCCTGCTGGTCTTTAGCCAGTCTCTTTGAGACTTTGAATCATCCTGCATATGTTGTATCTTGTTTCATATATGAGAGACCCTCTCCCTGCTGATGGCAAAGATGAGGCTGTGTTGCTCTTCTTGTAAAGTAAAGCTTTGCCTGCATTCTGAGAGGTGCACTTGGACATTTTGTGTAACATAACTACTGTTATGTTTCCAACTGCAGGTTATAATATGAGAGACTAATACTTACTGTTTAAAAGTACCTGTTAAACATCCAACAGTTGTTTTAATTTCAGATAGGTCTTTCAATTTTAAAAAGGGAGAGAGAGAGAGAAAGAAGAAAGCAAATAATGAGATTGGCATGGCTGTGATGTGGACTATTGGAAGTGTTTACCCACAGTGTGATTTAAGAAAAAATAGCTGTCGCATTGTTTTGAAAATTCATGGCTGCAGTTGCTAATTACAGTGTTTTCTTGTCTTTACTGCTGGTGATCTTTTAGTTTGTCTCTGTATGTTACAGAACAAACAAAGCTGGGTATGATCTTATAGTCTATAGATTTATTGCACTGTTTGCTTCTTTTCTGCTTGGAATATAACAGAAAACTTTAAACGATAATAGAACAGTTTCAGGAAAGAATTCTTTGGAAATGTGTATACAAAAGAATAACTAGTTGTCTTCTCAGGTTACAATCTTGTGACAACCTTTTCTCTAAATGCTAAAGGTGGAGCCCCACTGTTTCATTCCTGATAATACATAATGTATTAGTTTGACAGCATTTTCTTTACTCTTCTGAAAAAGGTAGAGATACTTCAAAAATTCAGAAGAGCGATGTCACTTTCCTATGGCAATGCTTGAAATGGACGTTTACAGGAGAATTGCAGTTGTTAGTAATCTTCTCCATAGTGCTGCAATTCTCTCTTGTATAAACTCACCTAATGTGCTTTTGCTAATGATAGGAAAGTTTCTGGTATGGGATTTTTAGACTGCAGGGTTGCCAAAGATGTACATTTGGGGAGCAATGAAGTAATGCAATTAAAACCTTTGGAAATAATTAGGGAAATGGGAAAAACTAAGGCCTTTCACAGTTTGGAGTAATGTCATCTAATACAGTAGGTGGACCTAGTGCAAACCGAGTTCTGTTCTGTGGATTTTTTAAAAAAATAAGCATAGTGAAATCCGTGATTCTGCTGACATACTTGCCAGTAATTTCACAGTATAAGTTCCAAATCCCTAATATTTCATTATTTTTGATGTGCCAGGGGCTCTGGGTTTAAAATTATTTTATGCAAATATGAAAATACACACATTTTACATTAAAAAATAATAAGTTGTGTTCTCACATGCGGTATCTCCAGGTAATCATGGACCAACTTCTGTGCATTATCTTTTTAATTACATGGATGAGTATCTAGGTAAATGATGCACCTTTTAGGTAAAAAATGTTTAAAGATACGATTATTTTAACAAAAGACTGTAAGCTTGAGCATGGGTTTAAAACCTATTATGAGTGTATACTATAAAGATGGATTTTCAGCCATATCTCCAGCTACAGAAGAGCAGCTGTAGTAGCTTTTCTAGGGAAAGCCTCATTCTTGAGGTCTGCACAATGGATACCTGAACTTCTCTGTATTCTGTCCTCAAGCCAAGCATGAAATAGCCTTAAGGCTACAAATTTTAAGAGCACCAAAGCCAGGCTTTAGGGCCAGTAGGTGCATTTAATATTTCTAATCTAAAATACAAATCTTTTCCAGAATTCAGTAGATAACCCCATGGAAGATAAAGCTTGAATACTGTTTGAAAAATGTGGGTGTTTCCTATAACCTACAAAAAGTTTTTCCTTCTTGAGCTGTGTGGAAATTGTGTATTTTTTTCAGCTGAAATTTGTTTGTTTTTTTTTTAATGTTGCAATATTTCAATACTTCACACTCATCAACAGTGGTTGCATATCAGAGTTTGAATCAGAGGCAGACTATCGTGTAGTAATCTGAACTATAACAAGATGAAATCTCAACATGTCAAAATAACATTTGTTACTTTATTAAGGGTTACAATATTACAGGGGTAATCTAATATATTATAAACCCTACTTTTAGTTATATACAGCACACGCTACATACACATCATACTGTGGTAAAGATATGATGAGGTACTAAGGGAACACACACACACAAACACTCAGTGTCATACAGGCTGACCAAAAAATATATTGAGCTTCTGGAGGCTTTTATTCTGCTTCTTTTATGCATTCTTTAACTTGTATTTTTGTAGTAGTTTGATTGTAATGGGTGTGTTAGCAATCTGTTATAGAAACCTATTTCAGAAGAATATTTGAATTATGCCAGTCTGTATTTCATAAGTGTGACTGACCTCTAAATATAAATGAGTAAATCTGTTTAATAATTTGATAGTAATAATTGTCAAATATGTTAAAAATAACTTTTTTGCTACTGATAAGTTCTCTATATAATTTTTTATCTAAAGGCTATTAAATAGCTTATAAACTGGTATCCATCATTTGCCTGCAAAGTTGGATAGACCCTTTAATTTATATCCAGTCATTTCTGATTATAGAGGCTACACACAAGGTAATCATTGAAGTCAGGCACAAAATACTGTAACAGTTGTGTAGTATAACATGTTGGCTATAGAGCACATAATACCTATAATAAATCTGGATTCATTTCCATATGCAAGTAGCTACTTCATTTTGGTAAGAAAATAATTCATGTTTTTAATCTAAAATATTTGAATTAATAGTGAACTTTTATAGTACCAGATTATTTAAATAATAGTGAAGGGAAAAGGCCAGATTTATCAGGACAATAACAGTTTGAGTATCTGCTCTCAAAACACAATTATATAGTGCTAACTTTATTCATGGTAATTAACAAAGATTACATAATGATCACACTAATGTACATATACCAGCTACATAGTTCAAAGGATATGATTCCTGTGTCAAATGATGGCTTATAATAACAACAATAATAATAATTAAACTCTTGCTGTACAGTTTGTAATATTTCCTGTATTTGAGAATATTTATACATAACATACAAAAATACTTAAATGTGGTGGCAATATTTTTATCATCCAGACTTAATTTACAGGGAATAAAAACCAGGAAGTTTATCTACAGTTTTCATCTAAACTGCAAGTTCCAATAGGACCAATAGGAACTGTTATTACAGTTCCTTTTCTTCAGCTCTTTTTCCTGGGATGATTCTTGAAAATATAATATACAAGCTCTCATACCTTACCATTAAATGTACAGTATCTTACATTCCTCATTTCTGAAAAGATAAATTCAGGTAATAAAACCATAGCTTTATATGATTTCTAGAACAAGAAAGCAAACCAAGAGAAGAAGTATTTCAGTGAAATGTGTTAGGGTTAGGTCTTATCATCATAACAACTTTCTTTAGTGAATATGATCCTCCCCGAAATTCAGCCCAGTAAACACCATCCTGATATCGACTGCGGTAGTGTCCTCCACGATACCAGACTCCATTGAGATTTGAGTGAGCACATGCATTGTACCACCATCCTCCTTTCTGGTAATGAGCACAGTTACCTGTAAAAGAAAGCTCCAGTTCAGGCTGAGAAGTACATGAAAAATCTTCAAGCAAGCAAGCGAAGTACAAAATTTTGTTGGTTGGTTGTTCTGGGCTTTTGTTAGTAACTGTATGTTTAACATGTAGATATCCTGTGGTACAAAGTCAACTCAGGCTTCTTCAGGAACCAGCTAAGTAGTTAGGTTCCACAGATAGAATCCTTTTTGTTACTTCTCTTGCCTGAAAATCAGTGGGTGTTACTGCCTCAAATAACCCTTCATAGCATATTTTACAGACCCTTGTCTAGTGTAAAAACTTTTAATTTTGTTCTTAGTATATGTAAGGGTTGAGACATCAGTTTGTATTTCATAAGGTACTAATTGACAAATCCCTTTGTTAGTACAATTTCTTTTTTTTTATGCATGACCATGAGTATTTTTCCGTTTTCAAAAGAAAGTGATAAAGAAGGGGGAGGTGGGGATGTAAAGGCAAAAATGGCAAGGCAGCTGAGAGGGACCTCCTACCTGTATATACATCGTGGTCCCGGTCTAGTGTGGTGAACTGTTTGCCGTTGTGCCAAGTGAAAGAATCTCCCGCGTTGCCGTTGTAGCGTCCCAATCTCAGCTTGTAGTACTCACTCTCTGGCTCCAGTCTGAAGCTGGCATACTCAGCAAATACTTTTCGACCTGACCAGTCTTCCATTGTTATGAGCAGTTTGTAGTTGCCTTGATTTGTTAGCCAATAAATGTTTTCTAATCCAAGCCAATATTCTCCATCTATATTACCAAATCCTTGCTGTAAAGGAAGCAAGAGAAGCATGTTAATATCTGTGTTAGTGGTAAATCTGAGTGTATTCTCAAGCAGAAAACGGCAGTAACTTATTTTATAGAGACTCCTCTTCTGGAAGGGTAAACACACAATGTTCTTTTTCAAGTAGGCTCTTGGCCAGACTCTAAAACCACCCTTTAAATTAACTTTATCAGTAAGTTCTAGAGGGTAGAAAACATTAATCGGCTGTCTTGTCCTAACCTTGTATGTCTCCCAGTTCCTGAAAAAGTTTACAGAGCCGTCCAGCCGTCTCTGAATGACAGTCCAGCCACCGGGGTCATGCCGTTGGTCACACCAGACCTGCATAAGCTGGTTTGTGTTTTCTGGTTTTACAAGGTAGATGGAGCTTGTGTCATGGCCATCTTCTAATGCTTGTAGACAGTCTCTCCAGGGCCCTGTGTCAAAATAGAAAGGCTCTGCGTAAAACTGCCAAGAGCGTTTCTTTAGTGCAGGGCAATATTTGAGTTGGTAGCTTTTTATATTAGTTTGGTTTCACTGAATAGTATATTTGTTTTTCCTCTTATTAAAGAATGAGTATCCACCAAGTGTTTTCAAACAGATTCATTTATTGTAACTTTATTTCTGGAACATTTCACAATGAGTTACTGGTAAAGGTAGATTTTGGAAAAAAAATCTTTTAAGGCAGCTGTATCGGTACTTTCACCATCAATTATATATTTGAAGAAACTAAATATGAATGACTCCATAGATAAATAAGAATTTCCTTTAGAAAGCAAAACAGTAACTTTGACCTTGATTCTGTCTTTGGGGATCTAAAAAGCTGAATTTCTCAGAAATGTCACTGGCACAGGCATTAGCAGTGAAAGCAACAACATAAATTCAGACTGTAGGTCTTACTGCTGCCACCTTAATAAATTACAACATAACATAGAAATTAAGATTTTTTTTTAACATAGGGTGCTTGTGAGAGAAACTTCATATAAATGAGAGGACTCCTAATATACTTTGAATTCACAGAAATTGCAGTTAGCACATTCTTGTTTTCAGAAGGAGAATGCATTTTTTCCTTCAGTTCAGTAGAGTCTATGAAGAGCTTATGCTTTTTGAAGATACGTTATACTCCTGTTTTTTCAAGAAATTTTCTCCAGTGGCAAGATGGATTCTCTTAATGTAGCTGAGATATTCAGAAATAAATTATTTATAAACTGAGATATAAATTATTTATAGTCTGTGCTGATATCTGCAGATAGACTCCCCCAGCTGCTTTGCTTCCTCAGCAGAAGAGTGAAGTCAACAAGAATCCTCAGGATTAGAGATTTGAGCCCCTGGATTGTTTCTCCCTGCCCACTGAAGGAGTAAGGATTGTCACATCTTCTGACTAGGAGCTTTACTGAAGCATATACTGCTATCAAGAGTAATTACTGTTTTAAATTATTTCAGTCCTATGTTTTTTTATAATTCATTGTCCAACACTACTAATAGTACTCAGCAAATGCGTTAGAAATAAATTCGTTTTATATAAATAATCTCAGTGTTTTGGAAATTAAAACACTGATGTTTTGGTATTTTTAGCTATTTTAATCAGCGAGTCAGTGTACAAAGAGGCAAGCCAAGTCTTTGTTCTGTGGATGTTGTGTTCTTGTTGCCTGAGTCATAATCAGAGACTGTACTTGGAGCTGTGCTTATAAGCCCCTTCTCCATTTCTTTTGGGGCTAACTGTTTAGATTTCTGGCAGCTAAGTTATAGATGCCATGCTCTTATCACACCATTGCATGGCTCGTTATGAGAGGTGGGAAAAAATGTTAATGAGCACTAATAATTTAAATTGCTCTGGTTTATTTTATCACGATGTGTATGTAGTGGCACTTACTGAAAATAAAAAAGAAAGTCATTATTGAAGAAGTTCTAAAATAGCCAAACAGCTTTGACCTCGTCTTTGTAAAAAAACATATACCAGGATGCAATGTAGCATTTACACCATTCTAATCTTGCGGTTTCTTTTAAGGCACATGGCAGCAGTGCTGTACTACACTACTTTTTTCTGAAAGTGATTAAGAGATTTTTGAGAGAGACTGTCAACAGATTAACCAAAGACATTTACTATTTTTCTTATATTTTGCTCCTGTTTTCATCACACAGATTGGCTGTGATCAGGTGTGTAGTACAGCCAGGAGCTTTGGATAAGGTTGAGAACTCAACACATAGTCTGAAAAGGACTTGATAAAGTATGGGTGGATTTTTCCTGCTGGCTGGGCAGTTGTAGTGGTGGGTTTTGTTTCTTTTGTAGGATGTTGTTTATGGGTTTCTCTTTATGGGTTTTTTCTAGTTGCCTCCAGACATCTGACTAAAGCATCTTTTATGGCAATAATTTTAAGGAGGGGTTTGAGATGTGGTTTGTGAATGGAGAACATTCTGGAGGATGAAGAAAAGGTATTAAATGTTTCTTGACTGAAAAGAAATGTGAGGGGAAAGAGAATACTCTGAAAATAAAAGCTTAATTAGCTTAACTTCAGTGATTGGAAACTCGATTGAACATATAAAAAGCTGCAAGTGAGAAAATGAGAGAATAATCAATTTGTGCAGAAGAAACATGCAACTTCTTTTTCTGTTAAGTGATGTGATACAGGGAGAAGAAACAGGTGTGAAATCTATCTTAGAATTGTAGACTGCCAAAGGGACCTCTGGAGGTCAATGTGAAAAATTGCTGGATAAACAGCACTTCCTCAGGTGAAGATCGGGGAGTTCTACAGGGTTGCAGACTTGTTTGGAATGAGCGAGCGTTTTATTTTTCAAAAGCAGGAAAATGTATGAGGATAGATCAGCAAAAGTACTGTGCACCACAAGCAACTTTTCTGTTCTGCTGTTTGATAGTGAATCCTCAGCTCCAGTGTAAGGACTTGAAAGCACAAGGCGGATGTGGACCAATTAACAAGTTTTTGTTCAAAGAGTGTAAGGGAATGAAGGGGAAAGGTATTTCAGTTCCAGAAAGGTAGGGGAATACTGTTCCAAGCTTGAGCCTACTTTGAGATCGAAGTAAAAATGTAATTATTAGAGAGGCCATGGTTTACTGCTCCAAAGGAGTTGTAGTAGATCTAATTTTCTTCTGAGAATTTTTCCTTACATAGTACATCAGAATCATGAAATTTCTGGCAGAGATTTTGCATGCCACAATGCAAGCTTTGATGCACTATCTTTGGCATTCTGTGGAAATACTGCTTTGTAGTGAAGTATTTAAGAGACTTAGGCTTAAGAGATTCAGTGCTTACTTGCTTAAGTTTCTTTTGTTGTATTTCCATGGAGAAATAGTACAGGGGTTGTTTGGTTTTTAACACGTGGCAGTTGCATTGTTGGATAATCCTAAAAGGTTTGTTGATATCCTTTGGAATATTTTGCAAATAGCCATGAAATATATTGAGTGCATTACTCTATTTCACTTATCTCTGAGTTCAGAGATCTGTGACTCTACCTTTTTTCTGAAGAAGGTATGTGTTGTCCACACAGTGAAGAGCAGTATGGAACATATACCTGAACTAGTTTGGGTTTGGCTTTTTTTTTTCCAAATGTAGGACCGTAGGTGAAACTGAGTGCTTTACCTGTTATTTTGTTATCACATAGATCAGTTGATCTCTAATGTGATTTCACATCATCAAATCAGGCTTGTGGCAGAACTCCTGAGACTCTTAATAAGGGTATAATATGCCATTACTATACCACCACTTGCTTCCTTTTGCTTCTGTCTAGAGCACAAGTGCCCCATATAACGTACAGAGCAGATAATTACTCCTTTTTTAATTACACAGGCATATTATCAGATGCTAGATCAAAAAACTTGTAATAATTTCATATGTTTACACAGTGTCAAACTCCTTCAGATATCATGAATTGTAGCATTTCAGTCTTGAGCAAAGGTAAATAAAATTTAGATTATTTGAATGGTAAGATTTTTCTGAAAGTCCTTTATCTCATATATGTAATATAAATTATGGGTTTGTCTTAGCAAAGTAACATGAGAAAAATATGTGGGTTTTGTGTGTCTTAGACATTCACAGGTGTTTTTTTTTTCTTTCTGTGTTTCTACTACAGCATGTATGTAAAGTTCATTAGCTAAATAAATTCAGACTGCATTTTTGATACTACAATTAAAATGTTGTCCACTGCATATTATCATAAACTAATGTAAATGTATCAATAATATTACTTACCAGATGGTTTATCAGTTGAAGTTGGAATACTAGTAACTGCAGGCATGGTTGGTAAGGTAGGTGGCAGAACCTTTAAGTTCTGATCACTTTGAATCTCATTAGTAGATATCTGATTATTAATGCGATTGTAAGTAGGAGGCTGGTACACTTTAATTGGTGGTTGTGGAGTTTGTGGCAGTGGCTTTATGGATGGCATTCTTTGACAATGTTCTTCCAGCTGGGCAATTATTATTGTCTGATTATTGGCAATTGACATCAAATGTTGATACTTGTGCTCTAAGTCTTTGTATTTGTTTGCAAGCTGCAACATATCTGCAGTTTGGTTCAAAATTTTATTTTCAAGTTGAGAAAGTTCTAAGGCATTATCACGTTTTCGGATAATTTCATGTAATAGCTGCATGTAGAGTTGTGTGACACGAGAATTCATATTTCTGCTCTCTTTTCTTAAGAGTTTAACTTCATTAACAATTCCACCATCCACCTCTACCAGTTGCTGGAGAGTTTCTATTTGTCTCTTTTGTTTAAGAAGTTCATTGTTAAGTAGCTGTAATTCTTGTTTATTTACCCTGTTTTCAAGCAGAACTTCAGGCTCCTTAGAATTAACGCAAATGGCACCTGTCACTCTCTGCTGAGGTACAATAAAGGTGTAAGTGCATTTGTCCTGTGTGTCACTGGAACGCTTATATCTATTCATATAAATGAATTCTTGAGCTTTTTCCTTGTCATTGCCTTCAAATTCCTGTGTTTCACTTGTAGTAACTCCCACAACAGTTACTAGTATTAAACAGATGAATCTTGTTGTCATCATGATCCTCTAGTTCCAGTCAAATATTCTTCTGCAAAGAACTTCGTAAAATCTGTTATAAAATAAATTTAACAGTGATGAGTAGGAAAACAGTGTGGATTTACAAAATACCATCTCTTCTAAAACTCAGAAAATAGTACATAGTAACTATGTGTACAAATGAGGTCCAGCATCAACTTGTGTTGACTAAAGGGGATATCATGGGGAGTAGTTGTATTTTTCTATGGTCAAAACTGTAGTGACTAGTTGCTAGTTCATCTAAAGCCTGCCAAGAACCATAAGAAAGTAAGCGGTAAATACAAGGATTTGAAGAGTCCTTTCCTCCAGGCAAATACCACAAAAGTTTCCAAGATTGGCGTTTTCATTTAAATATGAATTACACTTTCCATTTCTTACCGTTAAAATACAACCTTTAAATGTAAATGTAATGTAAGTCAATATATGTTTTAATGCTGCTAAAAGTTCTAAAAATATCAAACTGTTACTTTGCAGTATTTTAGAACAGCATATACATTGCAAGAGATACAGTTTAGGTGACATGTAACAATTTTACTTTATTCAGTAGTATTGAATCTCCATTGCTTAAAAAAAAAGGAAAAACTTATTTTACATTGGTCCTTAATAACTGTAAGTTAAAAACTCTACTACTCAGATGTTATAGGCAGTAAAACATGTTTGGACTAGTAGAATTTAAAACTGAAACATTTACTGTGACTCTCACTGGAGATACTGTCTCTACCCTCAGCCTAGTCATCTCAATTCAGAGTCCTTTCTTGAAAGGGGAAAAATAGCTGCATATGTGCATGGTGGACAGTGACAATGCATGGTGATTTAAATCAGCTGGTAGTGTCTACTGGCATACTGCAACAGTTGCCCTTTGGTGAAATTGCCCCAACTTAGTTCTCCATGCAGATTCATATTCAAGGTGGACAGCTGAGGCCTTCATAATCTCTCAAAAATTAAGGTAATACTTGAACTCTGTAGGCAACAGTAGACTTGGAAACAGCTTTGCATTGTCACTGCTGCCAGAAATACCCATGTCACAAACCACTTTCTTATCAGCTACTTGAACAGGACTTTGATGTTGTGTATTTCTAAAACCTTTTTGTTGTTGATTTTTAATACTCATGTGTATATGCAACCTAGTTTTCTTAAATAAAATTAATGAAAAATGCAGTATGGAGTTTTTTCAGTGTATAAAGTCAGATACTTTTTAACCAAGGTGGTGTTGCCATAGTGTTTTTCTTTGCTTGTAAAAGATTTCTCATGGAATAATCATTCAGTATTTAAGTTTCTATCACTTTACTGTTTGGTCATCTTTGATACAGTAATTTTTTTAAGTTACATGAAATGGTGATAGTAACAGCTGTGAGAAACTGGAGTGAGTCCAGCTGAGTACACCCAGCATGGCTAACTGGAGCTGGCAGACATAATGAATGAAGAGCAGCAGGAAGAGTGAAGTTTGTGTAGTCTCCAGGTGAGAAGGTAAAGAAGGACATGTTCAACTACTTAATGGGTGTTTGGAAAGAAGATAAATTCTTTTTGGAAGTGCACAGTGAAAGTATATGGTGGATACAAATTACCTCAGGAAAAAACTGGGTTTTATTAAAAAAATTAATTGTGAGGGTGACTGAGGACTAAAGCAGTCACCCAAATAGGTGGTAGAATCTCCATTCCTGGAAATACATTAAGTTTTGTTTTAGGTAAGGCTATAAGCACTCTGATCTAATGTTGAAACTAGACTTGCTCTGTAAGACGAAGATAAGGTCCCATCCAATCTAAACTGTTTTATGATTCTAGGCAGCTGCTGACTTTTAAGAGATTTTTTTTTTTTTAATGTCAAGATAATGCTTGATATGCATACTTTATTATTCATACTGAGAAGAGATATGGTTGTCATTTGTATTTTTCTGTTTTTTGTGAAATAAACCATAGATGTTTCTGCAAAAGATTCAAACAAAGTAACCAGGACTTAATCCTTCTTAAAATTTTTGGTTATATACTTTTGCCTCAGTTTCTTATTTTGCAAGTAGAAAGGACTTGTGCTGTACAGAACTTTTCAAAAATCTTGAAAACTTGTCAGATGATAATCTGGAGTTTGACACGGTTTCTGTAAGTAAAGCAATGCTATTTGGAGTCCTGGAAAACAGGGAACATAAATTCACCCCAGACAGCTTTAACTTGCCTAATCAGCATTTGCACAGCAGGTCACATTTGGAAAACCTGGCAGTTTTCCTGGCCTCGTGTTCCTGCACAGATGACTGGTTTTGCAAATGTCTCTTGCATATAGGTGTAAAATAGTTTTATTTTGCCGTTGGAATTCTAATATCCTTTTTTCCCCCTTCTAAACCGCTACTTATTGTGACCACTGAAAAGAAGCTCTTTTTTTCCTCAGAGTTCACTTCTGTCTGTTACAGCATCCCATATCAGCATCTCTGTTTTGAGTATGGCTTTGGCATGCCCATACTTTTCTGAGCTGAAGAAAGAGCAGCATGTAACAGATTTTTCTCCTGATTCTTTTTAAGAACCGTGTAAGAAAATAATGGGCGAGAGTTCATCAGCCTCGTTATAACATACCATCTTAATGATCATCTAGTCCCACTGCCTGACCATGGGAGTGACCCCTCTCTAGGAAGCCTGTTCTAGGGTTTGACCAGTGGTTGCAGATGGCAGGCCACCAGTGAATGACATCAGCATAATTACACTGTCCTGAAACGTTTCTCTGTCCTGATCTTGCCTGCTTGTCAAGACAGATGTTCTTATAAGAAGAATCAGTGGAAGGAAAGTGACATTGGTTAGAGAATGCCCCAGTACAAACAGAAACAAGAATCATACTGTCATCAGCTGTCCTCCTTCCTGCAGTCTGTATATCATAATTTTGTCTCTTACTATTTGTACTTGTTTGGTTAAAAAAAAATGTGTTTAGAATGAGGCCTATTTGTTGTATATTGGGAAGGACTACATGAATAAATGGCATTCCTTTCTGCAGTTGGATTAAAATGAAGATCACAAAATGGTCATTTGAGCAACTCTCAATGATTAATCTTTCAGGGACAAAAAAGCTTTCTGGAATGGAGAAAGTGGGGAGGGAAGCCAGAGAAACAATTTTAAGGAAGGTTTTAATGCTTGTTTTAATACCTTCCTCTTTGAGTAGCAGAACAGCAGATTCTTAGGACATTAGGATTCCTTCCAGGTAAGAGGAAGATCATACATGATGTCCAGGACATTAACTTCCAGTTTTCTCCTGTGCCCAGTAATTGCTGATAGTCCTTGTACTTGACTGCTGCCATTGCTTGCTGGTCACTCAGTTCTTCCTGTTTCTCTGGCTGCCTACCCCTTGCCCTCTGCCAGTAGCTCTTCTGCAGTGGACTAGGTGGCAACTATATTACTAGGGCCATATTTGTTCCCAGTGCAAAATTCTACTTGGGCAGCTGTTGACTTTTCAATCTAAAAGCACGCTTGCAGGTTTGGGGCAAATTTTCTTAGTTGCTGAAAATACAGCATTGTCTGTCTCTTATCCTCATGCATACTGACAAAACTTTAACACACAAGCATACAGCTTGTGTGTTAAAAGTTTCAGTTACTTACAATTTGCATAATATTGGATAATCCAACCTGTACACCTTTTTTCATTATTTTTTGGTTTTGATGCCATGCCTAGGAGGATCTCGTTTTTATTAAAGAGACTGGTTAACTGTCTTTTTCAGGTTTTATGAAATATTTTGCCTGTGGGATTCTGTGTACAAGTGAAGGTCTATCTCCATCAGGTGAAAAATATGACTTAAGATAATAATCATAGAATCATTAAGCTTACATGAAAATGCTGCCAGTAGCTTTTTAATGCTATGGCTGTTTTTTGTTGAATGAAATTTGTTCATAAAAGAGACACTTGCCATATTACTCTGGAAAGAAATGTGTATATGAAAGCCTGAGTATATAGTGTCAACAATCTTGCATCTGGATCTCAAGTGGTTTTGCAATGTTGAGCCTTTCAGCCACTGAGTGATTGGCATTTTGTGTCTAGGATTTTATACTATGTTATTTTTATACCTGTGCTTTTCAGTGTCCTGCAAAAAGTAGAGCAGGAAGTCTACTGGATGATGGCTGAGCACTGAACTTTATTATGTGTTGCTTAATATTACATGTCAGTTTAAGGAGGAAAGGTTTTGATACTTAAGACATTACCTGTAGTCTAGTATTTTGGAAAAGTACAAAAGCAAAATGATGATCTGTGTGAATCTTGTGTGGAACACCTTAACTAAGACAAATGGGGAAAGTAATTGCCTGGATTTCATACCAGAATAGAAGTTCTGTATCTTAAATTGCATTATTATTATTTATTTCTACAGATAAGGAACATAACAGATCCCAGTAGGTAAAAGTAATAGAATTGCTTCTTGCTGCTGCTCTTGTATTTCTGTGTAAACTGCAACAAAGCAGAGAAACATAGGTGTGACATGATGATGCGTTGATCCTTGGACAGGCAGCTTTCAAACACATGATACATGACACTTTCGCTACCCTTGGAGACTCCTTTACAGAGAAGGCAATTTTCTGTACTAAAACTCAGATGTTATAACAAGAGCATTTCTGGGGGCTTGAGTAGCCATTTGGATTGCAGTATAGTTGAGTGTTCTGCAAAGACAAGAAAAAACACTACCTGTTGGTTTGTGGAACTGATAGTGAGAACCTGGTACATGAAGCAGACAGCAGCAAACTTTAACACGTTAGAAAAGGTTTTTCGTGGTTTTTATGCTGCAGCTGAGGAACTAAGGCGGCATTAATAGTTTACTGAGCTATGATAATTACCGTAAACAAGGTGATGCAGTAGGTTTCCTTTGTGACTTACTCTTAAGCAGAATGCTCAGAAGCTGTTAAGCTAAAATAGGATTTTCCATTTAAGTCATTGTATCTTTGGGATAACAACTATTGTTTTTACAATAATCATTGTCACTCAGCCTCCCTAAAAAGACTCCCAGAGTATTACATACCTTAGAAGTTAATTTCAGGATTGTGGGGGTTAATTTCTTTTAATATTTCACTCCATTTTCTGTGTAAGGTTTCCTTTTTGTGGTGTGTGGTTTTGGGTTTTTTTTCTTTTTGGGGGGATTGAGTTTTTTTATAATAGATGACTTCCATTTACTTAAAGAGTGGGTAGGCAGGGTCCAACACTCAGCATTTATTTCCATCTCTACCAATTGCTCTGACTGAGGAAGCGCTTACAGCCTAGAGAGGGTGGATTGTTAAGAGTTCATGTAGGTCCAGTGTGCCAGAACTGAATGCACTGCAATTACTCTCACACATCAGCCTTTTCGAATACCCAGATAGGTGAAAAAGACACATATAAAAAGGATAACACACACTTTTATGTAACACTCATATTTTCTGAAACGGTTGCTTTGACCATGAAGAAAAAATTGTACCGTACATACAAATGAGCTCATTCAACTATGCTAAACCACTGTTGATTAGCTTTTTTGTGCTAGTTATATTTAATAAAATGAGGCCAGGAGTACTTTTGATGGGCTGTCTTTTCCTCTGTACCTCTGATACACCATCTTCTGTGCAGTCCTCAGGCACTAAGGCTTATAAAGGAACGCGTGTTCACAGAAGGCATAGTGTTAGCTATGACAGCATTTATTCTCTAGAAGATAAACTGCTGCATTTTATTGTGAATTCAGACATAATTTGATAGCTGTGCATTCTGAAGAAGAAACATGAACAGCTAGCAACACATCTTCACTGTTTAATACTTTTGTCTTTGATAATGAAAGGTATTTTTATATTAGTGCAGTTTCACATTTTTATTGCATTATAAAAGCAAACGAAGCAAGGGTGTTGAAAATGCAAAATCCTGATATGAAAAGATCAGAAGGCTTGGTTTCGCATTTTTAAAAAACAAATCTTAGGTTTTTGCTTCTACAGAATCCTTTGATAGCCAATGTTTGTGGACTTACAGTTAGCTGGCATGTTCCAGGCACCAAGCCAGTAATATGATCTGGATTTCACAACACCATTGTGATAAGACAGACAAGCATGAATTTTTTGAATTTGCTTGCTTTCCTACTCCCTATCCCTTGTCTTAGAGTTCATGCTCAGTTTTTTACTCCTTCACACGTTTTCTTCCATGGAATTATGTTAATTTATCCTGTCAATTTTTACCCCTCAAAAGTCTTTTTTCTAAGAGGAGGGACTTCCACTGCTGCAGGATTTCTTTTAGAATAAACTCACGTCGTAACTTTTAGATGAAAAGTATTGCTGTGAAAAACCTAGATAGTGATTTTTTGTGTTTTTCTTTTTTTTTGTTGTTTTTGTTTTGTAAAGGGAAACAACAATTCACAGTGAAAATACAGCACAGTAATATGTAGACCACATGTATTGAAAAAAAAAATTCAAAGTTGGGCTCTAAGTTTTAAAGTAAATACATAGGGAAGGGCTGACACATAGTAGCATGCAGTGCTAGTTATGAAAACATGATGCTAAACTGAATTGAAAAATTTACCTCCAAACTTAGAGGGGATCACTTTTGTGGTTTTGCCACTAGTTACTTCCATTGTTAAAAGTGCCACACTGGCACTAAGCAATTAGTTCCTTTAAGATACTTGTGTTAGAATACATTCTCTTGTCAGATTTTCTGCCCATTTAAAACTGAGCAAACAGTTTAGTTTTCTTAAGCAGTTTCTTAAACTCTTCAGTTTTCTTATAAGGTAATACTTTTTCTAATGAGGGGAATGGATGATTAAGCAACATATCAGAACCAGAGTGTCTTCATGAGATCTTGGAGAACTTTTGTTTTGAAATACTATCAGTTGCTGCAAGAAACTGCAGTTTATGTATCTTTTGTTGCCATGTAACTTTGCTGAAGTTTTGGCAAAAACTTTAGTTACAAGAAGTACAATTTTCTTCTTGATTACCAAGAATTTCAGTTGTTTGTGGATTGTTCTCTGTGCTTTACTGAAGTTCTGTCATAGATGTGGAATGTAATTACTGAAAGAAAGCACTGCTTTTGTTGTTGCTTCCCTTAACAGCGGCCTCACCTTATTTTCACTTAATCCAATCACTACCAGAAAGCGCTCATACTGTGTGTGCTCGTATGTGTGCATGCACATTGTCCATAACAGCCTTTAAAGAGATTCATATTTTAATAAATGTGACTCATTTTACCCGTGAAAAATAGCAGTTAGATGATGTAATACTTTGATGCCTACATGAATGTACTCATAAATGCTAGTTTCTTTTTTAAATTAAGTTTTTGTGAACTACTTCAAATATTTAGAGACTGTTAAAGTATCAGAAAGTTTTGTATCTCCCTAATCAGATATGAGTGTAAAAAAGACTGAATGGAGGTTTCATAATTTTTAAGACAGACAGTCCTTCAGAAAATAGTATGTCCTAGAAAAATTCTTGGATGGAAAGTTTAAGGAAGTGTGAAGATCAAAGTTACATGCAAAAATATGGTTTTTTAAAAACAAAAATCGTATTCTTGAAAATAATACTAAGGCTTTCGCTGCCTGGCACATAATGTCTCAGCTATCTTTATAGCTTTTACGTTAATATGTGACGGATTTTTGTTTGGGCTCGGGGGTGTTTTTTGTTCTTTTGAAGTCAAAAAGCAGGCTTGCTGCTTTATCTCAGGGAGCAGTCCTGCTCTGATAAGCTTGCCTTGGCCGGTGGCTCCGTGCAGCCCCGGCGGTGCCCGTGCTTACCGCGTCTTCCCGGCCGCTCCGCTCCGCTCCGCTCCGCTCCGTCAGCAGCTGCCGCCGCCGCCCGAGCGCCGCGACATCGCCTCGGCGGCCCGCGCGTGCCGTGCTGGGACCAGACGGGACGTACCGGGGAGAGAGGCGCAATTCTTTTCCTCTTCTGCCTTTTTCTTGCTCAAGACCCTTCTGGGTTCGTCAGCCCGGCTGCGCCCCGCGTCCCAAGCGCTACGTTCCCGTTGGGGCGCTCGGCGCTCCCGGCC